TTATATATATACAATATATAGTAGCTACTGAGCAATATAATGAATGTAATTTGCTTTCCCACCACTATAAAGTCACATAGTGTCAAAAAAATCCTAAGCAGTAAAATATTAGCTTAAGGACCATCTGTAATCTGAGAAGGGCAAAACAAGCAGCATTAATTAAACATAGGAACAACAACTGTGCCAACTTTTCAGGAAATTTTGTGTTGGAAGGGTTAGAAGATAATAAAAGAGCTGACACTGTAATATGTTTAAATGTCACACAGCATCTTGACCAAGTCCCTTCGCTAAACCTTTCTTTTACCTTTGAGATGGAATGAATAATACCTGCATCACAAATTCGTTCTGGGGAAAAAAAAATCTGTAAGTTTCTTTAATATAGTAATACACACACACTAAGAAACAAAAACAGGGGTGGAGATTTAACTCAGTGGTGCCACTGCCTGCCTTGCAAGCACAAGGTCCTAAATTCAATCCCTGGTACCAAAAAAAGAAAGATAAACAATTATTCCTTGACACTAGAAAAATTTGTAAATGTTAAATAAAATTGAATCGTGAAGCATACCACATAGAAGATCAAGGAGGACTTTTGAATTCTAAGTGGTATACTTCATGATTTAATCTCGTTACATTTATAGATTTGACTAGTATCTTTTACTATATCAAACATCCCTTTTAAAGAGGCCAACCAGGAAGCAATTTCAGCATCTACCATGAAGAAATGACTGCTTGACTTAGAATGGTAGTGGTGAATTGGTAAGACAGATTGTTTTCAAGAAAGAATAAACAATAGCTGGTGAAAAGTAATTTAAGAGTAAAGAACAAGTCCAAGGAATATTTAAATGCTGATGGCAGGCAATAAAGCAAAGTAATTAAGGAGCTTGAAATCACACGAATATAGGTTTAAACCCTGACTTCCACTTAGTAGTTATATATCCTAGGACAATTAACCCTTTCCATCTGAATTTCACATTTGTAAAATAAAGATAACTCTTATATTCAGGATACAAGTATTTAACACATGGTAACCACTCAATAAATGGTCTTATGTACTTAATATGTACATGATTTCCCACTCAATAAATGGTGTATGTACTTAAAATGTACAAAGTTTCTTTATGTTTTTATGGCCTTTCTGGTCTCTTTATAAGGTATGTGTTTGATATAGTAGTAGGTATTAGTCAAATCTATAAATGTAACATAAGATTAAATCATGACATGTGCAACTTAGAACTCAGAAGTCCTTCTTGATTTTCTACATGATATGCTTCATGATCCAATTTTATTTAACATTTACAAATTTTTCTAGTGTCAAGGGATAATTGTTTCTTACCCTAAGCAGCCACCAGTCAAATTATTTTTGTTGTTGTTGCTTTGGTTCAGTTTGCCTTCTTGAGACAGAGTCCCAATCTGCTTCCCAGGCTGGCCTCAAATCCAATTCTCCTGCATCAGCCCCTCAAGTAGCTGGGATTAAGGTATATGCAACTGTGCCCAGTAATAATTTTTCTTTTTTAAATTCTTTTTTATTTTTTGATGATGCTAGGGATTAAATGTAGGGTGTAGCAAAAGCTGGGCAGGAGCTCTAACCATAAGTTTCATCCCTAGATTTTAATTACTTCTTTATCTTATCTGTCTTGCCCCTAACCACCCTGAATAGTGTTCCTTGAACATAACCTTGTTATGGTTTATATCTAGATGTTCCCTGAAAGTCTTAAGCACTCATAGGTGGGGATCTGGAGAGATGCCTGGACCATGAGGGCGTGATATTCGTCAAATTAGTCCCTTGTGAAGTCTATAGCTAAACATGACATTGGGAGGTGAAGCCTGGTAGGAGGAGGTGGGTGACTGGGGTGTAGCCTGGAGGGTTTTATCTCTTGTCCCTTGATCTCTCTCTGCTTCCCAATGCCATGCCATGAGCTGCTACTCATCTGCCATGCACCCTGCCTGTGAGCCTGCCAACTATGGACTGGGACTTCGACAAACTGTGAGTCAAAATAAACCTTTGCTCCTTATAGTTGTGGGTATCAGGTATTGTGTTTTAGTAAGGAGAAAGTTACTAAGACAAAGGGAAAACAAAAATTAGTCATATTTATCTTCAATTAACATAGTAAGTACAGAGCAGGCTTAGCAATTTTTGTTAAAGGTGGTGGGAAGCATACATATAAATCTAGGTTCTTACCAGGCATGGTAGTACATGCCTGTATTCACAAAACTCAAAGTAAGGGAGGAAGAACCCTATGAGTTCAAGGTCAGCCTGGGATACATAGGGAGACCCTGTCTCTCTCAATCAATCAATCAAGCTCTTCCACATTAACTCCTCTCCAAATCAGTACAATCACACTTTAAAATGAGCAAATTTCATCATTTAAAAAGGTTTTTCCCTACATACACTACACCATTATCACCATCCATCCAATTTTAAAGACACAGAAACCCCAGCCCATGATGCAAACAACTAGTCAGTTCTATGTCTGCATCTAGTTCAGGGCTTGGGTCAGAATAGCTATCTAATCAATATCTGATAACCATTCAGCAAATAAGCTCAGTAGGATAAAAAGGTACAATTAATAGTGCCTTATAAATCAAGAAAGGATAACTAATACCTAGAGTTATTTATGTTGACAAAGTCCCAACTACCTAGAAATTATGATGAGATAAAATACTTGAATAACTAAAAATAATAATCTCTGCCAGCTGGTCTCCCTTGAAACTCGAGAACACTAAACTCAAATGTGGGTCCTGAGTACTGCCTGATATTCTTACATTTCCCTAGTCCATCTATTCCCCATTTTCCTGTACCACTATTCTGTACCTTCTCCTCCCTCAAGTTTCCATCTTTCCTCATCTCTCCTCTCTCTGCTCTCTCTTTCCCCTAATGTACATGTTTTCTATTTCCTTTTATCCTGTTACTGTGGATCAGAGATTCTCAAGAGGGGTTTTACTGAACCACTCCAACCTGAAGTGTAGGGAGGAACCTGCATATCGCTCCTAAATGTTGACAGTCCTTGAACCACTCCCTTGTGTATCTTCCTTCTGACTTTAAATACTAAAACCACAACTCCCATTTATATCTTCTGCCCAGACTTTCCCTCTAAACTTGTTTCACATACACATATTACTGCATACTGACATTTCCACTTAGAAATTTAACATATGCAAAACTGAAAATGATTTCAGATCTTCTCCCTCCTCACCCCTATTACTCTGTAAGTCATCCCCATTTCAGAAAGTCGTAATTCCATTCTTTAGTTGCTCAGGCCATAAACCTTGAAATCATCCCATTCTCCCACACACCTGGCTGCTCTACCTTTGAAACATCTAGAATAGTCTTTCCGAACCACCTCCATTATTAACCACCCTGATCCAAGTCACCCTGACCTTCAGCCCAGATAAAAGCAATGACCTGCCAACAGTTCTCACTATTTCTGCCTGTGCTGCACTAGGTCAACAAAGCAGACAGATCCTTTAAAAACACAAGTTAGCTCAATTTACTCTTTACGCAAAACTCATCTCATTCAAAGTAAAAACAAGTTCCCACAAAGTCCCACAAGACCTTATAGAACCTTGCCCCATTTTACCTGAGTATCAGCTATAACTCTAATGCTTGTTCATTGTGTCCCAGCTGAACTAGCTGGTATGCTCCTGGCTCATGGACCCTCTTGTAGTCTCAAGGCTCTTTCTACATGGCATTTTTACTACTTTCATGTCTTCACTCAGGTATCTTTTTTATGGAGAATCCTGCAATATCCTAAACCTCTGGTACCTCATTCCCTTTCACTGCTTTATTTTTTTCTCGAGTACTTTCCAGCGTCTGATACATTTTTTGTTTTTGTCAGTGTCTTCTCTTGCCCATCCCCAATGTGAAGTTCACAATGGCAGAGACTTTTATTGTTTTTTAACTATTTCCCCCAGTACCTGGCCCGGGGCAGGTACTCAGTATTTGCGAAGTTAATAAATAGAACCTAGGCTTGATGTGAGTACAATATTCTAAACACCCATTTCTTTAGACTCCTGTTCCTATTCTGCTCATTTCTCCCCAAACTTAACATTGAAGAGCAAAGGAAATATTTAAATCTACTGTAAAACTCTAACGTTCTCAACTACTAACCTTAACCCAACACCTTTATTTTCAAATTCAAAACTCAACCAACTACTCTAACATATCACAAATAGTTCAGATAAGATCCAAATATTAACACTATCAAGGACTCGGATTTACCAGATGAATTCTAGAAGGTTCTGTAAGTTGTTTCTGTTAAGTCGTGTAGGTTCTCATTACTGAATACATTACACACTTCCTCACACCTCAGAAAAATCTAGAACCACTCCAGTTTCCTAGGTTCCTCAAGTTTAAGTATAATTTGAAAGCAATCCTGAGTACAAGTAAATAATGTGAAAGTGCTTTGCCAACAGAAAATGTCTCGTCAGCATTAAATGCTATTATTAAAATGAGACTTTAAAAATGTCACTGAGAGGATAAACTGGAGGAAATAGCTGAGTTCGGATAGAATCGAAGTGCCCCGTAAAACAATTATGGTTTCGGTAACCGTACCACGGAAAATGCGGGTCTTGAACTGAACTGAGCTTCGACTCCACTCTACCTTTCCTACCTCAGTAAAAGACAGACATACTCCGCAAGAGACCGCACAGGCCGACTCGAGTCCGGAGGGTGGTGACTGGCCAACCCCTCAGCCCGACCGCACCACCTCACCCGCCGTCGCCGCCGGGCTGCACTTCTCTCGCCAGACACTCGCCCCTCCTAATCACAACTCCCAGCCCCCCAGCCCTCTCCGTCCAGGCAGGTCCTCTCTTGCCGGAACACACACACTTACCGTGCCCAAAGCGCCGGCTCGTCCCCCGGCTTCCTGCACAGGTGAAGACGCCGGGGTCGGGGCTGTGCCGCCCGACACCGTCCTGCAGAGGCGCGGGAGCAGGAGTCCGGAGAGCACGCGCAGCCGCAGAAACACCGGCGCAGAGGTCGGAGACGAACCCTGCTGTACTTCCGCCCTCCAGAGATGACGTCACGGAGCCCACGTGGCCTCGACTCCACCCTCTGGGATCCGCCCATCGTTCCGAGGAGCAGGAGCCGCTTTTAAGCATGCGCACAGCGAGAGGAGTGCTGACCAAAGCGAGACCTTGAGTTCGAAGTCCCGAGCCAAAATGTAGACCCTGGTCCTTGGGGAGGTTAATGTAACAGTCCTATAAGAACAGACATCCTCCCTAAAGCCTGATAGCAGCATCCCTCTTCCTGATATCACAGAATAGTGTTATTAAAACGTTAGCTTTCAAAGTTCTTTCACACCCATGTTCTCATTTGATGGTCTCAACTTTTTTAGAATCACTGCAAGCACGAAAGAGCCATATTTCAGCGAAGATTATGTGAGTACTGAGTAGGGGAGCCCATCTATCCAACAGTGCCTCTTCCGGTTTCTGAAAATAACAAGCAATTAATAAATTTACCCCTAAAGAGTATTCGAAAGGGATCTATGCAGAATTACTAACTAGGCATTTAAGATTTTTCTCTAAACTATACATGCCATAATGCTAGGCATGCTGAGTAAATGCTGGAGCTCAGAACAGGTTCCTAATCACTGGGAAGATAAGGAAATCTGGGTAGTAGCCACAGAATTCTTGCAATCCGCTGGTGCATGTTAGGTGGAGCATGACTAAGGCATCCATCCTAAATGGAATGAAATAGAAAGTGTCAGCATGCTTCACATATGTAAAAGTAAATATTGTTTCCTGAACTTTACATACACACATACAGACATATATAATTATATATATATACATATATATATGTATATATATATGTATATGGTATACACTGGATGAAATCTCTTTCTTAATAAGGATGACATAATTTGAAAGGCACAGCCCTGGTCCACTCCACCTATTCAAAGCAGAAATCCCCTCTAGAATATACCCAACAGTCAGCTATTAGCCCCTGTAAGAAAGATCCTGGGAGAAAGGCGAATCACCTTCCCAGTGGCAAACAAAAGTGTATAGAATTTACTTTGAAATGTATCCAAACAATAAAATGGATTGAGATGCCTAGGATAAGTATGGGATTAAATGAGTAAAATACATTGTAATGGTAGGATCTAAGTGATGGTTCATTATAAATGGGCATTTACTGTCAAATTCTTATAATATTGCTATATGCTTGAAATTTTTCCCAATTAAATGCTGGAGGGAGGGCTATATATGAAAAATAATAAGTATAAGTGATTACATGGACCTAAAATCCAGCTTCAAGTTTTATAAATTGACCCTATTTTCTTTTCTCATTTTGTTCCTTTTACTTCTCCCATCTATAACCTACAACAGAAATAATTAACATTTCAGATATGAAAACATAATTCTGGTTCCCCATAACCTACATAGGAATAAAAATTGTTAGTTCTTTTAGCCATATTTCACATGCCATACCTCTTTTCTGAATATGGTCCAGTTATCAGATTCCCCAATAAATAGTTTTATTCTTTCCTATCTATTGATTATGCTCCTTAAGGAAAATTTCAAAGAGAACTTTTTTAAAAAAAAGAGGAATTCTGTATTTGTTTTCTGTCTTTTCCATTGTTAAAATGTCTCCTCTCCCATCTTTATTACTTTTTGTGAAGATAATATTTAAAGAACTCTTTGATTTAGTCATATTATTTCCTCCAAGCCTCAACTCATTTTAAGTGACTCTTCCAAAGTTCTGAGTTCCAATGAAAGATACCAGAGAAGTCTTTGTTAATAATATAGTCGTTTCTTCGTATTGTAAAACTTTGGAGTTGTAAAGTCTGGCTTTTCTCTCCCCCTCATTGGTGGAGTTTGAACCCAGGCCTTCATACCAAACTACTTCCCAAGCCCTTTTTTACTACTCTCTAGTAGTCTCTCTAAATCACTAAATTGCTCCTGCTGGGCTTGAATTTGTGCTGCCTCGGCCTCCCAAAGTGTTAGGATTACAGATGTATACCCCCACACCCAGCCTGATTTTTATTTTTGCATGCCTTGCAGCTAATAGGAAGATGTGGTTTTTCTATAAAATGGAATATTACTCAGCCATAAAGAATGAGAAATTAGATTCATTCATAGGAAAATGGATACATAGTGAGGATATACTCCTAAGTGAAATAAGTCACACATGTGTAAATACCAAATAGTTTCTCTGGTGTGAATAAACTATAATAGTACATAAGATCCTAATGATATAATTGACAATGTGAAATAAGAAGAAAGGGGCTAAAGGTGTAGGGAAAGTGGGAAGGGTAGGGGAAAGCTAATAAGGGAAATGAAAAAATATGAGAAAATGAAAATGAAGTGTTTGTAAATGGGGAGGGGAGGAGGGGGTGAAGGGAGGGCAGGGTATAGGGAAAAAATGAGAACCAAGACCTTTCATGTAAAGGTACAAGATCCTAATAATGAATGTAATGCACTGTTTACCTAAAATGTACCAATAAACTCAATGAGGAAAAAATTTTTTTAAAACTCTTAAGCTGTTTGAACCTTTAAAAAAAGAGTCAAAGCAACAAAGAGTCAAAGCCATGAGAGTTCTTTACATTTATTTAAGCCTGCTTTCCTAAAAGCTAAGGTATCTCTCCTAACCGTGCAATGAACTCTAATATGCCATTAAAGTTAATAAAGATTCCATCTGCTCTCTTTAATCTCTTCTGCTACTTTTAGTGGACGAATTAGGCCAATGTTAATTATTTTACTTCAGTTCTAGTATCTCTTTGCTTCAACTAATTGTCCTGTCTCTCACATTTTTTTACTCATTACTGGTTTCTTCTGTCTACAGACATGCTAAAATGTTCTCCCATCCCACTAAAATCTTTCTTTAACCCTTGACACTTCTTACCTACATTGTTAGGATGCCTTTTACCTGGTCTCCCTGCCTTCAGTGTTGCTCTCCATGTCCCAGGGACCATCTCATTTTTACACTTATTTCAAGCAGTGCTCATTTTCTAAAACACACTCTAAGCAAGTCACTCTTCTGCGTGAGGCTTTTCAGTGATTCCTTTCTGGAAAAGTCTATGTTACTTTGTAGAAAGCAGCCTTCAAGTTTATCCCCAACTGGGGGTGAACGACGATGAAAGACAGAAGATGCAAAGATAATTTGGAATGAGGGGGAAAAGGGGCTCTGACAAAAGAGCCCTGATCATTTGGCTCGCCTTGTTTTTATTCACTTTGATATGTGAGCAAGCAATTAGGTAAATGGAAGATTCACCTGCCTTTTGTTATCTGGAGCGTGTCCAGGGTGATCATCCAGATCTCAGCTTGATTGACTCTTCTCTGGAACTTGCAACTGCTAGCATGCCTACGCATTGCCAAAGGAAGCACATCTTGCTGTTTTTCTCTTTTGCGCTCACAGATAAGGTCAGTTAGGCCTCAATCCTCATTATCTGGTCTCCTACATTACTTAGCACGATGAAAAAGGTCCTTTGAGACTGATATCTTTACAAATTCTATTCCATTTACTCGTGACTTGCACTTCAAAATCTAATAGTAGCAAATGTTTGGTGGTACTTCTGTGTACTATGACCAGGTCATCATAGTTGCCCTTGTTCCTGCTGACCCTGCTGTTCTCAAGGGTTGTAACTGTCCTAGGTTCTCGGTATCCCAAAGAAATGAGTAAGATACATAGAAGTCAGAAATGAAACGATAGGTTTATTAGCCAGGACACACTCCTCAGGGTGGGAGCAGGCTAGTGAAAAGGGCTCACAACCTGGAAGAAGCCAAGTATCAGAACCTATATGTGGTTTCTACAGGGAGGAAGTAGCTCTTTGAATGGACAAGGCAATTCACACCAATTAGGGACAAGTCTCCTCCTTTCTGTTGAAGGGAAGAGTTTTTGTCCCTGTATGGACCCATGAGGAATTGTCACGGTGCCCAAACCCCTGGTGGGTTAAAAGCCACCATGTAAATGGGATTATAATTATCCATAATTACGTCAGGGTCATTCTCAGTTGTGTAGTATATTCTATAGGCCATGCATCCCCAGGTACAGCTTAGGCATTAGAGGTGCTCTTTGTGGTTTCTAGCGAGCTTAGCTTGGGCTGGCCCAGAAGCCCATAGTGCACAAAACTTCTGGTCTTTCCATGCTGGTCTAGCTATTCAAACCAGGCAGTCTCTGTGGTTTTTAGAGAGCCAGCTTCCTCTTTTTCCCTCTGCACTTCAGGCTCGCTCCTTCCAGGAATTTCTCCTCTCTACCTCCTGCCTCACTGCTGTGCAGAATACTGTCTTATACCAGGCCCATCGTCACAGCTCTTCTTCCTCACTTGACATACACCACTTGGGGTTTGTTTGTGCTTATTGTTTTGCTGTTGTTGTTGTTGTTGTGGGGTTTTTTGTTTTGTTTTGTTTTTTTGGTATGTGGGTTTTTTTGTTTTTGTTTGTTTGTTTGTTTGTTTTTGGTAGTACTGAGCATTGGACCCATAGCCTTTATATTGTGCTACATCCCCAGCTTTTTTTTTCTTTTAATTTTTTCTTTTAAAACAGAGTCTCGCTATTACTAAGTTGCCCAAGCTGCCTCAGCCTCCCAGAGTGCTGCAATGACAAGCATGCACCACCACACCCACTTCACATTCATTCTTATGACTCATTTCATATTTTGGAAAAGTTTCTCTGCTCTTCAGAATTTCCTCAGTGGCTTTTGAAATCCCAAGATCATACATGGCCTGGAATGCAATATATTATTTGTTGACACAAGCTAAGCTAAGCATATGCTGTCTTCCGAAAGTCCCGTCACTTTCACCTCACAAACAAAACTGTTCCTCATAGAGTTCAGATAAAAGGAAAGTCATTGTTTCCTGTATTATAGTACTTCATGAGTTCCCGAGGGACAAACTCAGCAAGGAAAATTGGAAGGAGTTGAGATGCACTGCCATTAATGGAGTGGAGCTCCAACAGCCACCTCACGGTGGTTTAAGGCGTCTACCTCCACTAC